GAAGACTTGAATAAAGATTACTTTAATTTTTTGAACCCAATAATCGGGCAAAATGTTGGCAGAATAAACCAAACCCAAACCCAGACATGCTATACAATCAATTTCAATGAACGACCATGTCAATTCATGATGAAACTTGCTGATGACGGACACAACAACGCAGGGAGTTTTGGCGCGTTTTTTTTACAATTTTTTTTTGAAGAATATCAAAAGTTCGCTGAGCAACAACTCCCACAAAAAGGATATATGAAACCACAACATCTACTTCACCAATTCGAAAAATTCCAAGTTCAGCAGATAGAGAAGAAGAAATGGAGACATTTTTGATGAATTCATTACATGAGAACAAACTTTCGAGACAAAGACCGCATCTTCAATTTTGCTGGAATGTCATTATCGCAAATCAAGCGCCCCAAACGACATGCCGCCCGCCAAACCCTCCCAAACCCTCTCCTTCGAATGAATAGATGAGATTACTCAATGATAATGATGTTGATATTATAAGGACAACAATTATATCAAGTTGTAGCAGAGTCTGTGAAGTACGAGCCAAGATTTTACGTGGCCTTAATTGGCTTAGGAAAAATACATGATACTAAAGAGTAACAACGATGATGGACTTTTCCTTAGAATCACACCACGAAATTTGGTGCACACATTACCGAGGTTGATGAGCACGTATGGAAGCATTTTCAGATTTCGATCCTGTTTCCTTCATATTCGGAGCAGCCAAGAACAAATTTCAATCCAAACCGCACAATCCCAATAAGAAGAAGATGAACGCGACCGAAACCATGATAACGAACTTTCAAAGAGCCCATCCTAACAGCACAGCTTGCAATATGGTTCTCTAATATGCATCGAGTTCGGACAAGATCGGGTTACTGTTGATGGAGAAATTTCTTGGTTTGAAAGCTTCCCAAAAACTCAGTGAAGAATTGAGGAATTTTAGTGCAATAAAGATGGAGGTTACAGTTCCAATCAGACAGCATTGCTGATGAGTTGCCGATGACCCATAATCCAAAGATGAAGCGAAAATAATTTACTGTTGATGATGAAGTTTTTTTCAATTGAACACTGTTTTTTGCGAAGGCATGTTGATTAAGGCACATCATACCATTAAGGAAAATCGATTTGGCCCTTGCCGTCCAGATGTATACATTTGACCAAATATATTCCCGCTCAAAATTTTTATCCTTCCTGAACCTGGACTTTCCAGGTCAAAAATTTGACCAGCTACAAGTTCAAGAAATTCTGCAGTATGGATTGGGTTTTGGAATTTTCATCAAAATACATTTTTCCAATATCGTTTCCTCCAATTTCATAATATTGAGGTAATGCATTGGTCGTGTTCATGGACATTAATTGGAATAATTCACTCCCAATGCAAACATATAACTTCCAACAGAGAACAATTTGATCATGTTCTCTGTAAGCACAACTGCCCATATTTGGTTTTCAAATTGTGTGTTGGGTCTTCACCACCTTGTGTGCGTTGGGTCCTCTCCCCTGGCTTTCACTCTTTGAGTGTTTGCTTGCAAGATCAGCACTTTGTTCGATTTGTTTGTTTTGTTCAAATTGTTGATTTAAATAAAGGCGTCAGTGCAATCTCAACCCTTGAACGGGTCAAATCACTGTTTGGTTGATGCAACGTCTTGAAAAAAAAATACGTTGTTTTTCTGTCAATAATGAAGAGAACAGGCTCCAATAGCATCGTTCAACGGTTAATTACCCACAACAACAGCAGCCACACATCGAGCCTCACCAAAACAACAAGACAATATTTTTGCCCCAGAAATTGTGTTTTCAATTATGCTTTGTCGAACAAACCAAACATAATAATTGTTCCGAACAGCAAATTGTTGTATTATCCAACAACAACCACATTTGGCCAAATACGTTCTTACACCACCACAAAATGGTGGAAGGAGAAAGAAGCATCAACAAATGATAATGATGGTACAAATATTTCAGCGCCTTCATCCTCCGAACCAATCACTCTCAATTTGATGGATTACAAGAAATGGAATGCGCAACAAGTTGCATCAGTATTGACTTCTCCTAAATCTTTGGGTGGTGCTGGTTTGTCGGCTGATGATGTGAAGCCTTTGCATGACGCTGGTTTTGATGGATCATCTCTCTACAATATTGTTGAGAATATTCAAGACAAGGATGAATTTTTTGCGGTTGATCAACTGGATCGTATTTACAACAAAAGTAGCACTCTACAACTCTCCAAGACTTGCCAAACTGTTGTATTTTGGGTGTTTTATCACCTGCTCAAACCAAAGCATGGCAAGTCATTGAA